TAAGAACAGAAAATCGATGATAGATAGTCCCCCAAGTATGAAAGTAGAAGCAGTTTAATTAGGAGACCTAATGCTCAATGGTATTAATTGTCTTATAAGAACATATTTTGCAATGTAAATGATCAAATGCCAAATTTTAAAAGCTAATGTAAACTCTTAATATTCTTCATTAACTTCATATCATAGTATCCAAATAACAGACATGACTGATAAAAAGAAAAAATTACACATATTAAAGAAAAGTGACATAAGTCACAAACATTTATGAAGTGATAGTTGATGGCTAATTTTTGAGAAAATGATAAGTTCTGAAGAATCTAACCTTAAAGTCATGTATGGTATAATTCCTTCTGCTTCAATTTGTAGAGTGACACTGAGTTTAAGGCTGAGTTCCGCAAAATTGATAAAATGGAGATAGGATGAGAGAGAGTACAATAACTAAAAACAGCATCAAATGAAGAATGCAATAGATTTGATGTAACATGGAATCATCTCTAAATATGTGAAATCAATAGATCCATGTTTGGATAATTGAATCATTCTCCCATAAGCTGGTATAGAAAAAGGGAATGGAATGAAACTTGTTATATGGTCAATTGTTGACATCTTTTGTGAAACATGAGTTTAACATTTTCAGAAAATGGAAAAAAAAAAGATTACCTATTCCTCATCTATTGCACTGCAAAAAATTGGAACATCCAGGGATTACCGTATGGATTGACAAATTTGATTTCAGGGGTTGCTTTGAAGTCTAAATTGATAAAAAGATACAAATGCTTACTGATATGGGGATGGAGAGGATAAACTTAGTGATGGATGGGAAGTTTTTACAGAAGCTGAGGTCTAAGAAAATATACCTGAGATGTTCAATCTTCTTAGAATCGGATGCGCTTGGCCTATTTGGATACTGGAATGTAAGGAACTTTGAATTAGACAGCACCTCTTGGTATTGGATGGCCCCAGGAGAAGGCAAATATTTCAAATTATGGACAAAAATTGAATATCTGAATAGAGACCAAGTTCACAACAACTATGCCAAAGCTTCCAATTTATAAAACTCTCTATAATCAGAGAGTCCATAAGCTAAGATACATCCACTCTTCCCTTTATGTACAAAAAGCCATCTGGCACAAGGAATGTGACACTAATCATGAACACCTACAAATATTCTTTCTACCAAAATTTTCAACAAAAACACTTAACTCATTGCATAGACTATACATCCTTGCAAAGACATAATACTTAGGACTCATATATGTCCTAGAAGGCATACTTGAATAATATTTTACATTTCAAGAAGCTTCCTCCCTTCTCCCTGCTACTTCTCCATGGTGTGAATTAAACAGTACCTAAGGTTCTTCAAATGCTCAAATCCAAGGTACATGATAACTCCATTACTACATAACCAGCAAACAGTTCTAGGACAAATGAATTAATGAAATAAATTTTATTACAATGTAACTTGTTTATTTCATTTATGAAAAATGAATTTATCTTTTTGAGAAAACCCAAAAGAGGATACCTAAAGGAATCCTTTATGCACTGCAAACATTGGAACAACCTGGGTTTACCTCATGGATTGACAAATTTAATTACTGATGCTGCTTAAGAGTTAGATTTCATAAAAGTTACAAATGCTTAATGATAGGGTAAAGATAGGCTTAGTGATGGGAAGTTTTTAAGGAAGAAGAGATGTTGAGGTTTAGAAAATATACCCGAGAAGCTCAATATTCTTGGAATGGGATGCACTCGTTCTACTTCAATATTGGAATGCAAGAAACTTCTAATCAGTCAGAGTCCCTCTTGGCATTGCATGGCTCCAGTAGAAGGCAATTATTTCAGATTTTGAGTAGAAATGTGGTCTTCCAATATTGAACAAGTTCTCCAACAATTGTGTCAAAGCTTCCCCTTCATAGAACTCTCTTATAATCAAAATCCTTAATATTCAAGATGCTGCTGTTCAAAACAATATCATAAAAATAACCAGCAAGAGCTTGCTCATCTTAAGTGCATAGGAATCCCTAGAAAACAACATAAAACCAAGAAAACCCTCATCATTACTTTGATTATTTCCTTATACAATTAATTCAAATAACTGAACACGACATTTCACAAGGTTGTAAAGTTAACCACTATTAATCAAAGTTTAGTTTTTGCAGTAAAACAGGAAAAATCAAATAATTAGTATAGTAACAGACTACAAAAAACTATCTTTTACAATGAAAAATTAGAAGCAGGGGACAAGAATCATATTCATTTCAATTGCTTAAGGAATGAGAAAATTATACTTAATTATATATTTATGAAAGCTAGAAGCTACTCTGCATCTGATACTGCCATAAATAGATTGCTTCAAATAATTGAAGACCCTACTCCTACTGGATACTTACACTAACAAGTTGTATGATAAAAATTTTGAAGCTAGTTCATAAAACCCAACTCAAAGACCATGCTACAAGTTCTAAGAACTTACTAGATTGATGAGGATTTCTTAGGCACCTGTAAACCAGTGACCTATGCATATATATGTATGTACATAAATAGTTCGAGAAAACCACCCATTTTCAATTCTTCCAAACCATAGGAATCATTTATTATACATTCTGAATAATGAGAAATTCCTACCCTTGTTTGGTTTGTGGGGAATGGAGGCGCCATAACATCCTTCCATTTCCCTCCCTCTTGCTTGCTTCCCCCTTTTTCATTAAGTTATACTAAAATTATAAAGGAAATTAAAGGTAAATCCTCCCTCCCATTCCCTACCCTCCAATTTTTGTTATCCAAATAGGGAATTTTATCCCCTCCCCATAAACCAAACAAGCTTTAAAAGAATTCTTATATGGAAGAGAGTTGGAGTAATAAGAAATTACCTTTTAAAGAATTTCCACAAGCATTGTAGGTTAAGAAAATTGAAGCAGCCATAAGTAACCCTTTGGATTGATAAATTTGGACTTTTTTGTTACTTTGAAGTCTGAATTGAAGAAAGAAGCAAAATTAGTGGTGGAATTTATTATAAGGAAGAAGAGAAGTTGAGGATTAATAAGAAATTTAAATATATACCTCAGAAAAAGGGCTCAATGTCCTTGTTATTGGATGCGCTCATAATCTATTTGGATGTATGGAATGTGAGAAATTTTGAACCATTCAAGGCCGGTTTCCTTTGCACATCTTCCTTTTAGCTCTGGACATCCAAAAATTTGAAGATACTGCAACTCGGAGAGGCATTGCATGGTTTGTGCAGAAGGCAGATATTTCAAATTTGCGCAGTCACCAATCGACAGAGTTTCAAGAGATGACAAGCTTCCCAACCACTCCGGCAAAGCTTCCACGTGATTGAAATCATATATTCTCAATTCCCTTAGAGAAGTGAGGTGTTGAATTTGAGGTGGTAGATACGTTAGTTTTTCCCACCCATGCAACCCTAATCCGTGAAGGGAGGCGTTGAGGTGGTGGATGGAATTGAGATATGGGAATTCCTCCAACTCTTTTGAGAAACCACCAATTTCCAAATCCTCCAAGCAGACAAGACAGCTGAAGCTCTCCTCCGGAATACTCCTCAAATTTTCACATCTGAAAATACATAAATCAATCAGAGAATGCAAGGCCTTCAAGTCTTCTGAGATGGAGATCAGATTATGGCAGTCACTTATGATCAATTCTTTAAGAGCAGTGCAGGAGGACAGTCC